AAATAATTTGCAAATAAGAGGCGATAAAGAATAATCCTCTAGCACTCCTCTCCAAGCTTCATCTTATAGTTCTTCACCTCTCCGATTTTCCTTCTCCGATTTTGACAGTTGAAGATTGATTAAGAATTACGCCCACTGAAGAGGGGGAGAATTCGTGTGAGGAAGGAGCTCGCACACGGATCTTTGGCATTGATTGCTTACTTTTAAGCGCAGTGATAACTTTTCGTACAATTCTTTTGCGGTAGTGCAGTTTAAAGATTTGAATCACCCCTTGATCCATTGGTTGTAGCTTCGATGTAGTGTTTGAGGGCAAGTAGAGAACTGTAATGTTTTTCAGTTTTTTGTTGATTTCCTTCGGATGGACAGGGCAATTGTCGAAAATTAGAGCAATTTTGCGATGCTCTGCAATCATAAGTTTGTCCAACTTTTGAATCCATTTTTCACAAATGTCGGCCGTCATCCATGATTTTTTGTTGAATTCATAATCAACCTCCAAAGATTTTGTGCCCTTAAGACATCTTGGAGTTTTACTAATTTTTGATTGCCAGTCATATTTGCCCCTTGCATGATAGTTATTCTTCCTTTGCTGTGTTTTCCTCCAAAGCATTTTTCATTTTTGAATGTTAGGGTCTTTTGAGGCAAACATTTAAAAAATAAAGCCGTCTCATCAGCATTAAAAATATTTTCTGGCTTATAATCTTTTAAAAAATTTTTAAGAGTCTCTGCAATCCAACTTTCACAGTCCTTATCTCTGACGTCATTACTTTCACCAGACATAATTTTTCCTGCAATTCCTTGTTTTCTTTTAAACTTGTCAAGCCATCCACTACTTCGAAATTCATCGTGTCCCAATGCCTTTGCAAATTGCATTGCTTTCTCGATTATTAAAGGTCCAGAGATCGGCACGTTTTTATCTCGCATTGCGCGTATCCACTTCAAAACTGCCTCATTCACATCTTCATAGACACATGTTTTCAAACGTTTTGAACAAGGATTTGGTAAATCATTGTTTTCAATCTTATCACGATTTCTTATTATCGTTGATAAGCTGCTTGAACGAATAACAAATTTTGATGCAATTTCTTTTTTTTTCACACCTCTATCCACTTCTTGTAGAATAAAATTTTTTTCTTTAATGGTCAGGCACTTTCGCTTCGACATTTTGCAGCCGCAAGTAAAGCAACAAGCAGCACTCTGATCAGCAATCTAAAAACAGGAGGCGATTTCGAGAACGGAGCTCTACTGAGTGAACAATTGAGAATGTTGTAAGTTTTTCTAGAAAGGAAGTGAACAGGGGGATGGGGATAATAGAACATGTCAATAAGGGACCAGGGACCACACACTTTGATGACCCATTCCCTTTATCTTCTCTGCTCATTTCCTATTCAAGGAATTTGACCCTTTCCCCCCTTTTCTAGAGGTGTTGCATTTCCTGTATGAAATGCGAACAAAAAGGGAAAGGAATTTTACTGCTTTCTCTAAAAGTTAAGGGAATGCGAAAATCAGTTCAAGGTCATTTCCCCCATAAATTGCGTTAACAAGTTAATAATTTTCTCAAAATTTTGGGGAAAATTCACTTCACTATTTAGAAGTTATTTAACGAAAAAATTTCCAAAATGTTCTTGGTTCCACGAAAAAATTCGCAAAATAGAAAAATTCCTAAAATGGAAGTTCGTTAAATAGAAGTCCAACTGTATTTCTATAAGTCCTTTAAGAAGGCACCACACAGCAGGAAAAAAATTTTATCGCACATTTACTTTCTCATTCATTACTAATTTAAAAAAGAAAAATTAAATTCATGCAACTCTAAAGTAAGTTATGAAGTTTCAACTGCTGAAAGAAATACTTCAAAATATTAAAATGCGAACAAATTATTAGAAGAGAACTTCACCAATTGCTTAATCCTAAGTTATCTTCTCCCAATTTGTTTACATTTGTATCTTTTAAAATTTTCTTTTCAGTATTTAAAACTTCATGGCTTACTCAAGGTTTGTCTGAACTCACTTTTTCTACACTTCAAATTTCAAATTAGTAATGAATGAAAAAGAGAATTTCTCCTTCATTACTAAAGAGCATCCTCTTAACTAAAATCATAAAAATAGGCCTTTAAAATAATAACATATTATTTTTAAAAGGAATTTACAGTATTAAATTATTGATTTCAAAGGTGCTTTTATGAATAAATCTTATACTTAATTGTAGTATTGTTTTGTTTTAGAAAAATAAATATGTTTGCATATTAATAATAATTTCTTTTTTTTAAGGAGGATTTTTTGTTGCGCAAAAATGTTCAAGAACAGATATCTACATCAATGTCCTCACTTTCATCCTTAAGTCATTTGTTACAAAAAATAAGAAATATTGTCATTCATGATGGTATTGGTCAAAAGGTGAGAGGAACATTAGATATTCCTATGAATGAGTTTTTATTAATTATAAAAGATTCTTAATTATCCAAAAAGAGGTATACTTTGTGCTTGCCAGAAAACAGCATGAATGAAGCAGAAATAAAGCAAAGAAATGAACATATTATAGTTTTGGCTTGCTTTATTAACGTTGTTTTTTGGTTTATACTTAATTTGGCCGAATAAAGGAAATATTTCTTTTATCTGCACTGTTTAATTTTAACTACCTGTGGGCATATGTTCATGGCAGGGTTGGGTTTTTGACGTCAAAAAGTGGTTTTTGACATGACAAGGGTATAATACTGGTTTAAACCGTCAANCGTCGCCATGGTCGTGGAAGCGGCAGCACTTTATTTTCACACACTGTCCCGTTTTCATTGGAAATATGATCAATTAACGCATCAAATCAGACCAATCTATGCTTTTAGTTAATCTCCAGTTTTCCAGTAGTTGAGCCTGTTATTTTTCAACTTCTTGTTTAATAAATTCTGCAAATTGTTCAAAAGTTTGTTATTGGCCTATCTCGCAGAATTTTGATGTTTAATAGCTGAGACTTGACAGATTTTGCGAGGTGTGCTCGAAGGTGTAAATGAAAACAATAACTGGAGATTTAACATTGAACTGTACACGATTTATAAACAACCTGATATTATTAAATACATAAAAATGAATATGATTCGAATGAGCAGTGACAATACATTAAAAAATATTGCATTTTAGACCCACTAGAACAAGAAAGCAGTGAAGGCCGCTGGGCTGATTCGGTGGAGTCAGTTGTTGCAATTAATGAAAAGAGTTGGAGATCAAAGATAAATTGGAAGTCGCTATGGAGAAATCTTTAGAGGAAGGCATTTGCCCACATTGGGCTGTCTTTCCAACTGTGATGATGTTTTTTCTAAAGTTACTGTCATGTAAGATTCTTCTAGAAATAAAGACATGTGTTGTTGGCTCAGACACGTGTCTCAGTTATGTGTAACTATTAGTCTGTTCTGTTAACTTTATCATCTAAATCATTTGTTTCATATTCATCAAATAAATGCTTATTTCTGCAAAAACATTTTGTTTCCTTATTTCAACTACTGCTTCACTTACTATGCAATTTTGTTGACTGATGAAACAAAGTCATATCCAACAACAGTTTTGAACAGCTCCGTGAATCCAAACGTAAACGTTTTGAAGTTAGCATATATTGAAGGAATTTTCAAAATATTCTATAGCGAAAACTATTTCCAAAATTTTTGAAGAATTAAATAACTTTGTAACTGTAAATATAAGGTAACTGTAAATTTATAGAAAGCAGTAACATTTTTTAAAATTCATGATTTTATTAAAAATTAAACTGATCAGTGATAAACAGGGTTTGAAAAATCCCAGCCCACCTAGGTTTTTCATCCTCAACCTGGAGTTCATTAGTAAAAATACTGTTTTTTTTTTATTTTTTTAAATACATTAAATTTTTTTTCCTCAGTACTAAATAAGAATACATGTTTTGCTTCTAACAAAAAGTGTAAATATTTCGTAACTATTTATAACTTTCGTTGCAATGTAATTTTTTTTTTAATTTAAAGTTTTAGATTGTTAAAAATAAATAACTTATCAGTATTTGTTAATTAAGGAACCTTACCAATTTTCTGACCATAGAAATGTATTGATACCTTTAAAAAGTCGTTCTAGACCCTTTCATTTATGGGTTTCACCGAGAACTAATAAAACACATTGGTTTGAAAAGTAAACATTTTCTCAAACGTAATTATATTTTTATTTAATAAAAACTTTCATAAAACTATTTATTTAAATGATTTTTAAAAAAAATTAAATTAAGTCTAATAAGCAAAAGTGGAATAATTTAAGGTGCTTGGATGTTAGTATGGCATGTTTTTACTTGAAATAGGACTTAATTTAACATGACATAGTAAGAAAACTACTCTCATGCATAACTTTAATTCAACTTTTTGTTTTAATTCCTTTATAAATGAAACATTTTATTAGTGGAAAAGAAAGAATATTTTTGGACATAACTGAATATTTAGCAAACTTGGCCCACAACTGAACATGTGATGCCTACCTAATAGCAAAGTATTGTTGTAATAATATTTTCTTTGTTTCTCCTAAATTTTTCTATTTTCTCTTTTCTTTTTAATAATATGAAAAGAATTGCAAATCTTAATTTTGGCACTTAATTTTACAATTCAATTTAATGATATTATTAAAATTGGATTATGAATATTCGATAAATGTCTTTCTTTTTTTTTTTTTTTTTTTAAATTTNCCCGAGTTTGCAAAAATTGCTTGCTTCTACTTTGGCAAGCTCTGTTAATTAATACAATTATTTCATTATTTACATTATAATAAAATTGTTTTCTGTTATTTTTTTTTCTCTTTCATTTATTGAATTTTGTTTTTAAGAAAGTTAAATGATTCGCCTTGTCACTGGTGGTATATGAATATTCGATAATAAACAATACTATTTTTAAAGCTCTTAATTTCTCAGAAGAGTCCTTAATTTTTTTTAAAAAAAGTGCTTAATTTTTGCTTTGTTAAAAAAGTGGGAACTCTGAATTATATAGTGAACATATAATGGAATGAGAATATATATTATAGATACATACCTGCCAACTTTTACGCATTTGGCGTAAAATTTTATTTTCATATTTAAAGTGGTAGTAAATATATACTATTTTTTCTTTTGTAAACTTAATTTTTAAATGATTTTGATCACCACTATTCTTAAAAAAATTAAGCACTTATATTAATATGCGTTACTGTCATGGCTGTCAGCTTAATTTTTTTCAAATACAACATTTTTTTTTGCTTAAAAT